AGTCTCTGGAATCTGAAATAGTTGAATATGAAAATAAACTTAAAAAGTCTCTCAATGATCAAAAACAGTTATTAGAAAAAATAAATTTATCAAAAAATATAGGTAAGCTTAAAATAAAAATATATTTTCATAGTGATTAGTTAAACACAATTTATTGATTCTATTTTCTATTAAATAAAGAAACTGAGTTAATGTCAGAAATAGAAAAAATATCTGAGGAAAAGCATTTACTATTACAAAAAATATCACAACTTGAACAAAATATACAAAAATCAAGTAAGTTACTTACATTGATTTTAAAATAAATATATATATATATATATATATATAAATACTTATAATATATATTTTTTTAATCTTAGAATCAGATAAAAATATCAAAACTAAGTCATTGCAAGAAAATAAATGTTGTACATGTTCCAATGTGTCAGTAGATGAACTTAAACAAGCCTTTGATGCAGAACGAAAAGATTACGAAAAAAAATTAGAAAAAATAATGAAATCTCAACTTGATCCATTAAGATATGAGAAGAGGTCAAATGAATTAGAAATAGCAGTGAGTAAACTACGAGCAGAACGAGATGAATACTTATATGAAATTAATTGTTTAAAGAAACAACATAATGCAGAAGTAATCTAAGAAATTTTTTATCATATTTTTAATAAAGTTAAATTTATTAACCTTAATGTTTTTAGATCTTAGATTTTAAAAGAAAAATAGAAGAAATGAAAAGTGAAGAGTATGAAAGATCAGATAGACAAAATATTTTAATTCTTAGAAGAGAAAAAGACAAATTGGCTGAAGAAATAATTGATTTAAAAAAAGAAGTTGAGTTTTTAAATTCTCAACTTAGGGTAAGTGACATAAGGCATTAAAGTTATTGATGTTAGATTTTAGTTATTTAGCTTAGAAAGTTTTTATAATAGAAAACAAGAGAATTTGTAAAGAATAATGAATACAATGAATGGGAATATGTTAAACAATTGGAAGATGAAAAACACCAGTTAATTGAAAAACAACGATCATTGACATGGGAAAGTGCCAATAAAGAACGTGAGTCAGAAAAATATCTTAGAGAGATTTCTCATTTAAAATCAGAATTAAAAAGACTTTCTGCCATGATGGATGATCAAAAGTAAGATTTTCTATACATTTATGTACTGTAAAGTATATTAAACTAACTGTTAACTAGATGTTGTCAAGATCGTCTTGAACGAGCACTGCAATCTACACAGTTTGCTCAAAATGCTACTGAAGAACAATTAGAATGTGCACATGTTCGAATAGAAGAATTAAAACTCATAAATAATAAACTTAATGATCAATTGATTGATGAACAACAAAAACGACATAAATCTCATAGCAACACAATTGCTATTGACCATCAACGTGATACATTAACAGTTAGTATAATAACATTAATCTTGATGAAAAATTTAAAAATACTTTATTTTAACTAAAATGGATTGTATCCTATCAAATAAAGTGTGATTCATGATCACATTATAAAAGGTTACACATTTTTAATTATTTTATAGAAATTAAATAATTACTTAGCATACATTTTTTAAATTTGAATATTTTATATAATAAGTACTTTAAATTTAAGAATGAATTGGAGAAAAAAAACAAGCGAATTCTTCATCTAGATTCATTAGTCACGGATAAAGAAAAACAAATTCAATCATTACATATAAAACTTACGGATGCTGCTAAAAAAATTGCGTAAAATAGATTTTAATTTTTTTAATCAAAATTGAGTAACTTGTTGTAATATTATTAATTTATATTCAACAGTGATGCTTTAAGTTCTCAATCGGAAACAGAAAAGAAGTGTGATCTTTTAAAAAATGAACTTTCTAATATTAAAGCGGAGTATAAATTATTTGAAAGTAATTCTAGTGGCTATCAAAAAGAAAAGAAGTATGTTAATATAAAATAATAAAATATGTTACTCCAATATATTTTATTATATTTGGCTATCACCATTTATTGTAAATAATAATATGCATGAAAATGTTAAATAATGTATTTGCTTTTTTGTTTAAATCATTAAGTACATAGATTGATTTACTTTTTGTTTTTATTAATCTCAATTAATTTAATTTTAAGGAGACTTCAAAATGATTTAGATATGGTAGTTCAAGATAATAAAGTCTTGCGTTCTGAATTAGAAGCATCTAAAAAACAAGCTGAAGATTTGAAAATGCAATTACAAGTATACGTTTTAGAAATAAGACGAGTAGAAGAGATACTTGAAGTAAAAGAATCTGAAAGGGATGAAATATTAGAACAATTTAAGACATTAAATTGTGAGGCTACTCAATTAGAAAGTAATAACTATAGTCTAGAAAGTGAAGCCAAATCTACTAAGACACTTCTTAGAGAAAAAGAACATAGATTATCTGATTTAGAACGTAAACTCGTAGACAAAGAAGATATTATATCCAGTTATGAGTCACAAGTAAAACTGACTTAAAAATTAAACTGCTTAAGGTTAATTATAATTGTACAAATAAATGTTTTTGTTTTTAGATATCTAATCTGACTCATCAAATAGTATCATTAGAATCTCAATTGTCTTCTGGAAATGATCGTATTTCTAAATTAGAACTAGACTTACATGCGTGTAGAGAAATATGTTCAACTGTAGATTCAGCTAAGTTTAATTTAAATGAACGATTAGGCCATGTTGAAAATTTACAGCACAAAGCAGAAGAAGAACGTTTGAGATTAGCAGATGAACTAACTGTGGTGAATACACAGCTAGAAAGAGAACGTTCAAAGATAACTACAATAGAAGCAGTATTGAGTGATTCTAGACAAGAATGTATGCAATTAACCATAATCAAAAATGATTTAAAAGAAAGGCTGGAAGATAGTGAACAAAAATCAAAAAATCTTGGAGAGTTACTGTACGTATAAAAAAAAAATTGTATTGTAACTAGGGTTTAAAACCAGTGTTTTAGAAATATTAGTTTATGATAATCTAGATAAAATATTATTTTTATAAACAGTGACAAGAGATAAAAAAAGTTTACACTTCAAAAAATATAATGCTTCAGTAAATTATTGTAGTTTAACATTGGTTGAAACCAATATTCATTTTATATAGTTTTTCATATGGTTACAGATTGGTTTTAGCCCCTGATTGAAATATTATTTATTCACGTATTCTTAACAATAGAAGATTTCTAAAAAGAATATTTTGATATATTAACTATGTTAACTGTTATAAACTTACAAATCATCTCCTAAATAATTGTAAAAATTATAGGGAAAGAACAAAAAATGAATTAGCTGTGTGTCGTTCTACAATATCAAATTTTGAAAAAGAAATAAGCTCATTAAAAAGACAGCTTAACGATGTAAAATTTGAAAAAGCAAAGTTAGAACAAGCTAGAAGGTATGGATATGATCATTTAATATTTATACATCTTCAAATAATGTTTTATTTATTGTATTTATTAAACATCAATCATTTTTAAAGTATTATAATTAATTTATATGATTTATGTTATTTTTAGGGAGTATCACAGCACAACATTATAATACCAACATGATAACATTAAATATTTTAATTATTTTGACATAATTTATGTTTATATTTTATATTTAAATTTTAAATTTCGTAAGATGAATAAAATTATTATGTATAGTATTATTTAGTTTAGTTTAAATTATTATGAGGAATGTAAACTCTTATAAATTATACTTAAATAAGAAATATATAATTTTGAATTTTATTTTTGGAAATACAGAGGAATTTAGTTTTAGTAATTTTCGACAAACCAAAGAAATAAGTTTATCATAAGTTATAATTTAATAATAATAAATCATATTATTAAATAAAACCAAAAATTATGATTAACGATAACAAAAACAGAATAAAAAATATTAATAATGAAAGCGAAAAAAAAATATATTAAGTATAAAGATGTATGTATATTATATATAAATATGTGTTACATGTAAATATTTTTCATTTTTAAATTTTTTATTAAGTATTGTTTGATTTTGTTTTAAAAAATATTTTTTTTTTGTATAGTTTATATTGATATTTAAATCTTTTCTTTTAAAAGTATAAATTAGTAATTATAGTATAATTATATTTTTTTTCTTAAAGTTAGGATTTTTATATAGTTTTTCAATATTTCTTTTAGTACATGTTTGTTATTGCCCACTAGTACGCCATAAAAAATTTATTGCCTCGCCACTCTTGTTTTTTATCACCCTGGCATATAGTGTCCCTGCCTTTTTGTCAAAATAGATTAAGGTTTTTTTTGTGTCTAGAAAAAATAATACTGTATGCCTGTACGTATTCTGCCACAGTAATGGCTTTTTAGTGAAATATATTGGGAAATTAAAGTGTGTTTTATAATAAGTGTACCTGATAGATCAAAGAAAACATTGTTACCTATAATAAAAAAAAATATATAAGATCAGGCTCAATAATAGCTTACCATAATTTGCAGCAAGTGGGATTCCAACATAATGCAGTTAACTATACCTATAATTTTGTTGATCCAGACACAGGGACACACACCCAAAACATCAAGAGGTTGTAGGGTTCTGCTAAAAGGGGAAATAAAAAAAATTTTCTGATATTGTATTTGGCAGATTTTATGCGGAGAACAAGATGCATTTGAAACCATCTTAAAAGATTAATCTAAGTTATCATAATTACTTTATTGTAATTATAATCAAATTTACATTTATTATATTGTTTATTTTATTGATAACAAATGAAAGTGGCAAAGAATTTTATACAGCGTACTGGTGGAGCAATAACAAAAAAGTACCTTTCTTTTGTCAATTTAATTTGTTGAAATAATAAATGGAATTTATATTATGATGTTCTTAAATTAGTTATTTTTATGAGAATATTAACTTATATGACACCTATATAGGTAAATATAACATTATATTAAAATATAAGGGGAAAAAATCAATATAAAAATTTAAGTCATAGTATTATATTTTTTACTACAATTAAAGAGTCTACTTACATTTTATTTACAGCAATAAAATTAATTTAAAAAAAAAATTATTTAACAATATTTATGAAGAATTACGCATGTAATAATCAATTGCAGTAGAAAATGTAGCAAAACCCAATGCACCAAGTAAACCTGCTTTGGCTCCGGCTAAAATAAAAAAATTTTTCATTAATTGTATTTACATTTATATACTTAATGATAATATTAAATTTTATTAATTCTTACCTCTAAATCCTATTAATCCACCAGTTATTCCACCTGCATATGTACCATTCTTCCAATCAGATTGACCTCTATACTATAAAATGAGTAAAAATTAATATATTATATAACATAACACTAAGAAAGTAAAAAGTGCTTTTGATTATTAAGTACTCACCGTTTCTACAATACATTCAATGCCTGAGAAGACAGCTCCAAGTAAAGCAAAGTTTTTTGCATAACCAAGAGAAGAAGTTTTCATTTCACGTATAATTTCTTTGACTGTTTCTTGTTGACCAGGTGGTTTTATTTGTGGATTTACACTAGAAGTAAAAAGACCGATGGCTCCACCAAGAGCAAAACCTACAAAAATCAAATAATTATTATTGTTGTAATAAAATGTAAATAATAATAAAAATAATTAAAAATAAGAAAAATTTTAAAATTAAATTATAACTAATACAACATATTTCAAACATGATCAACAAAAATCGATTTATATTACCCATTACACCACTTAGAATGCTCTTAAATGCACAACTTTCAGTAATTGCATCTAAAGTTTTTTCTTCAACCGATTTTACTACTGGCCGCCCCATTACATTAGGCATCATAATTTTTTCTCGAAATTGATCATTGCTAAAAATTCGATTAACGAATTGATGTAAAACTTCTTCTTGTGTCATATTAGTTTTCTCCTCGTTATTGGACATCTTACGATTGTAAAAGTTATAGAACAAATAGAATATTTTTTTTAAACACTTTAATATTGTATAATATTATGTACTTTTATATTAATAATTTTATTTCGAAATATTTTAGACATTTAAAACTTAAATAATTAATACTATAATTTAAACATTTAAATGAAAAACGTGCAAAATAAAAATACATAAAGTTTTTAATTCCTAGTTTGTGATAACATTTTGATAACAACAAAATGTAATCATTCACCAAAGATTAAATGAAAATTCATACTATAATAATTACAGAGTGATATTACACCTATAATATTATATACTATATAGATAGCACGATTTAAGAGTATGCTTAACTTTAGAATTTAGATCATAATATAATATAAAATGTAGTTTATTATTATTTAAACATTTATTTATGTTTAATATTAAAGTGACTTATTATATATAATTTAAATTTAAGAATATTACCTACCTACCCATCAATAGTGAATCTCATTAAGTTTTTATATATTTAAATTTTAAAGAGAATTATAAGAATTTTAAAATTTTACATTTTACATTTGGCTCTTTAGACCATATTTTATTTAACCTTACATAAAATACGCATAGACAACATTCAATTGTTTAAGCCTTATTTAAAAATAAGGAATTCTGTCTTGGCGTTTTTTTAGACATAGTCTAAGTATTTGATTCAGCTTAACATGATAGTCTTTTCTATAAAATAAAATAATTTCTTTCAAACCTTTGCTGTTCAATAATTTGATCTATGTAATCTATCATATTATGCAGTACTTACAAAAAAGCTACTCAATCTCTTAATACTCGTATTATCAGATTTATTTAATAATATAATGTCATTGTCATCACACAGGAACTGACCAAATGTAATTTTACTATTTTTATAGTTTCAGTACTTAAGTAATATAAATTTTAGTTTTAAATGCACGATTCTAAGTGGAGACAGCCATTAGCCTATATCTCAGCTTTCAATTTTATATTGTTTGATATTACTACCTACTATAGGTTAGGTATTAGGTTAACTAATTAATTTTATTATTAGTAAATAGTAGTACAGTATAGGTTTAAATTTTTTCGAAAACATTGTGTTTGAAGATATGTGTATAAAATATATATATGTATATAAAATATTATATCATACGTAAAAGTTTTTGTCTTCATGAATAATGTTTTTAAACTATAAAAAAATAATAGATATCTAATCGTTATGTTTAAATATACAATTTATTCAAATTTAAACTTAAAATGTCTATAAAAAAATGTATGACGTATGTTTAAATATTTTTTAAATTTTTTGTTTTCAATATAACTAATTATGAAGAACATAATATTGAATTTTCAAAATTTTCGATGGAACGAGAAATTTTATAAACATTTATCTGTAAAAATAAAATTTCTGTTTTCACATTTAATGAAAATTTCAAATTTCTATAGTTATTCTTTGTTTATTAATTTTAACAAAATCTCAAAAATATTTTGAAGATAAATAGTTATTTTATGGGTGAATATGAAATTTCGTTACAATTTGCATTTCAAAAGGAGGTAAAAAATTTTGTTGTACGTAGAAGAACTTATGAGGAATTTTATATTCAATTTTAAATCTTAGATATGAAAGAAACAATTTTCATAAATTTCTAACAACAAAGTAATTTGTAAATTTTTAAAATTTAACGAATTTTATTTAGCTTATACATTTTAACTCTTAATTATATATAGGAAAAAAAATATAATTATAAATGTTCGATGTTTTTTTATTGGTAAATGAAAATATCCTAGGAACTGTATATAATATTGATAAACATTGTTATTTAGTGAATAATTGATAATATAAACACTTGGTAGTTGGTTAAAATTTTAAGTATATTATAATTATATCAAAAAAACAAAATTGATTTTGTTGAAAACTAGATTTGTGAAAATATTATTTTTAAACGAGAATTAATTCTGCATATTAGGGTAGAAGCTCGGAACCGATTCGGTACCAACTTGTCGGACTGGGATTCTTCCAGTACGGATTGATGGTGTGGCATCTTTTTAAACTCATGGACTTTTTGAGCCTTGTAGTGTGCAATGTACCCTGTAGGCGAAAAGCCAACCTTTGACGAACTCTTTGGAATCATTTATAAACATCATCTTGACGTCGCAATTATTGAGGCATTCAATGATCAACTTAATATTTAATTAAAAATCCACATTCAAAAACCTATCTTATTTTAGTGAACATAAACCAATAATAATTGTTAGGAAAACTGAAAATAAATTAATAGAAATTGAAGAATTATAATTTTTTATAACTAGAAGCGTAAACATATAGTGAGGGGAGGTCCACTCTTTTCCTAGCTTATTTAATATATTATAAAAACATAAAAAATGTTTTCTTAACAGTAATAAATATAAATATTTATTTGTAAACTTCCTCTCTCACAATTATCGAAAACATTTGTGTAATACATGACTGAACGTAATTTATTATTAAATATACCTATATACTATACCTACAGAGATGAATTATTCTTATGAATTTGTTTTAATATTTGAAAAAGGTACTTAAAAATTATTAGAACTAAACAAAATTGTAGGTGAAATATGTATCTATTATAAGTTATAATATATATAAACAATTAACTACATTTATTAATTTACTTTAAATTAGTACCTATATACTGTATACCTACGTACACACATATATAATATATATATTATATATATATTATATACGTAGACATTAAATGTTTAATTTTAAATTAAGCAAAAGAAACCCGTTACCTATATATTTTCAATAAAGTATATTGCTATGTAGGCATGTTATTAAGTATTAATACTTAATAGTACAGTAAATATTAATAATATTTAACTATTAAGTATTGACAATCATGTCAAGTGAATGGAATAATTTGGGTCGTAAATAGTGTAGATACATACATATATATTTTATATGATAAATCAATGTATAAGTATGTCTATATAGATGCTTTCATACAAAATCAGCCGGTTTAAATCACGATTGATTGCTTTTTATACTGAAAGAAGAGACTATATTGACTAATATCCAATAAATTATTTCTCTAATAACAATGTGTAAATTAGTCACAGAGACTCTGAAAGTGTAGCTAATATGTTTGCTATACACAAACAAATGAATAACAGAAATACTATACACGAAAGCATAGGTAATGAAAAATAACAGTACTCAAAATTTGATAACTTTTATGGTTTTAATATAGGCGGTGATGCCAAGAGTGACCTAGAATCATTTTGAACACACGAATAAGTTAAAATGACACTTCAGGATAAGCAAGCCCGTGATACGTTAAATAAATTCAAGTTTTCCTCTTTATTAGTTAAACAAGCTTATTATTTAACGTCTATATAATTATACTAATAAAAAATTATATATGGCAAGACGGAATCTATTTAAAAGAGTTAAGAGACTAACGTTTTTTTTTTTATAAATTATTAATTAAATTACATTTTATTTAAATTTTTATGCACCTAAATCAGAATTCAAACAAGTAAGTACTTATAAAACCTATACCATGTAGAGAAAGATACTATATTTATCTTTCAACAACATTTTATAAACATCATTAATCGTTATTAAAATATATTATGTAATTTCGTCTAAATTTAAATTTTAGACGCATGTAAAAAAATTGTATCTATATTTTTAATATTTTTATATATTTTATAATTTTGAAATTTCAATACGATTTGTTAAAATTATATCTTTAACACTTATAAAAAAATGTTATGACAAAACATTTTTGATATTTTTTAACTTGTAAATGAACAATTTTTGAGGATTTTTTTGTTTAATTTTTAAGCATTTTTATTCTGCAATAAATGTTTTATGGCGTTTATATAAAAAAAAACAATTTTAAAATAGGAATTGGAAATATTAAAATGACTATAAATAGCTAAAAAAGAATCAAAATATTTTAAAAATTACACAATGTGTAGAAATTGCTAACATAGATATTTAATGAAATCATCAAGTTTATGAGATTACCCATTCGTTAATAAGCCTAAATAAAAACAAATCGATTTTATTAAAAACTAGTTTTGTGTTAAATTTCTCGATTTTTCTTAGTTTTTTGTTTATTTTTGTCTGCAATTTTGAAATATACTAGGGACTTTAACCTTTATTAAGTAGAAACAAGATCTAATTCGCTATAAAAAAAAACTATCCTCAAGTTGAAAATTTCAAAACATTTCTTTTAATTGTCTATTTATTGTGTTTACAGACATAAAAACACACACACTTACACACATATAATAAAATAAATACATTCATCACTTTATTCAAAATTAAAAATTATTCACGACCCCCATGTACTGTAAAAAAGGCGGTTTTCATTAAAAAGAAGTTTGTATCGCCACTGTTGCTCTTTAAACTGCATTAATTATGTAAGTATTTGAGTATGTGATCTTTAAGTATATTTATTACCCAATTAAAAATTTCAAAAATTTTCATTTTAATGAATTCATTAAGTTACTATGGTTTATAAGTACCTATTATAGAAAAAAATTACAATTAATCATTCTGTATAGTATCCTAATATTCTGTATAGATTATAATCATATTGTTATTGTATCTTGTAGAGTAGGTATTTACACCGCTACGTATTATATTATAGTTTATAATAAAGTAGAAATATAATTTGTATGTAAGACTTATAAATTAAAACAATAAATTAACGTAAATGGATAAAAATGCATTTGTATATTACTCTGTAGTTTTTATAATTTATTTTTATAACGTGTATTAAAAATCTGTTTTAAAATTTTTATAAATATTAATTAATTATTAAGCACCTAAAAACTATATACTTATCTATTATTAAAACTTGAATATAGTATAAATAGTTGTTATAATATAATGTATTGTATTAAAATAATAAAAAAATAATACATATGTATATATATTTATATACATAAGTAAAATAAATTAGTTATTATTAGTGTATTTATAATACCTATATAAACTATATCTGTAAAAAAAAAAAATTATCTTGACATTCAATATGATTTGGGTATTCCTATACATTGGGTTACATTTGAAAACTTTAAATCGTATTTAGTTGATTGATTTATA